CAAAGGCAAAATGATTGTCTGAGGAGGCCTTACAAACAGCTATGAAAATAATAGAAACAAAAAAGAAAGGAGGAAAGGGAAGATATACCCATTTGAATGCAAAGTTTCAAAGAATAGCAAGGAGAAAAAAGAAAGACCTCCTCGGTGATCAATGCAAAGAAACGAAGGAAAACAATAGAATGGGAAAAACTAAAGATCTCTTCAAGAAAATAAGAGATACAAAGGGAACTTTTCATGCAAAGATGGGGTCAATAAAGGACAGAAATGAAATAGACCTAACAGAGCAGAAGATATTAAGAAGAGGTGGTAAAAATGAACAGAAGAACTATACAGAAAAGATCTTCATGACCCAAATAATGATGATGGTGTGATCACTGACCTAGAGTCAGACATTTTTGAAAGCAAAGTCAAATGGGCCTTCGGAAGCATCACTGCAAACAAAACAAGTGGAAGTGATGAAATTCCAGTTGAACTATTTCAAATCTTAAAAGATGATCCTGTGAAAGTGCAGCACACAATATGCCAGAAAATTTGGAAAACTGAGCAGTGGCCACAGGACTGGGAAAGGTCAGTTGTCGTTTCAATCCCAAAGAAAGGCAATGCCAAAGAATGCTCAAATTACCACACAATTGCACTCATCTCACACACTAGCAAAGTAATGCTCAAGATTCTCCAAGGCACACTTCAACAGTATGTGAACAGTAAAATTCCAGATGTCCAAGCTGGATCTAGAAAAGACAGAGGAACCAAAGGTCAAGTTTCCAAAATCCCTTGGATCATCGAAAAAGCAAAAGAGTTCCAGAAAAAACATCTACTTCTGCTTTATTGACTATGCCAAAACCTTTGTGTAGAACACAAAAAAAACTGTGGAAAAGTCTTCAAAAGATGGGAATAGCAGACCACCTGATGTGCCTCCTGAGAAATCTGTATGTTGGTCAAGAAGCAACAGTTAGAACTGGAGATGTAACAACATACTGATTCCAAATCAGCAAAGGAGTGCATCAAAGCTGTATATTGTCACCCCGCTTATATAACTTATATGCAGGATATATCATGAGAAATGCTGGACTGGATGAAGCACAAACTTGAGTCAAGATAGCCAGGAAAATTATCAATAACCTCAGATATGCAGATGACACCAAACTTATGGCAGAAAGCAAAGAACTAAAGAGCCTCTTGATGAAAGTAAAAGAGGAGAGTGGAAAAGTTGGCTTAAACTCAACATTCCGGAAAGTAAGTCCATGGCATCTTGTCCCACCACTTCACAGCAAATAGATGGGGAAACAGTGGAAACACTGACAGATTTTATTTTGTGGGGCTCCAAAATCACTGCAGATGGTGACTTCAGCCATGAAATTAAAAGACGCTTGCTCCTTGGAGAAAAGCTATGACCAACCTAGACTGTTTATTAAAAAGCAAAACGCTCTCCGACATAAATCACAGCAAGATCCTCTGTGACCCACCTCCCAGAATATTGGAAATAAAAGCAAAGTAAACAAATGGGACATAATGAAACTTAAAAGCTTTTGCACAACAAAGGAAACTATAAGCAAGGTGAAAAGACAGCCTTCAGAATAGGAGAAAATAATAGCAAATGAAGAAACAGACAAAGGATTAATCTCAAAAATATACAAGCAACTGCTGCAGCTCAATTCCAGAAAAATAAATGACCCAATCAAAAAATGGGCCAAAGAACTAAACAGACATTTCTCCACAGAAGACTAGCAAACACATGAAAAGGTGCTCAACATCACTCATTATCAGAGAAATGCAAATAAAAACCTCAATGAGGTACCATTACAGGCCAGTCAGAATGGCTGCTGTCCAAAAGTCTACAAGCAATAAATGCTGGAGAGGGTGTGGAGAAAAGGGAACCCTCTTACACTGTTGATGGGAATGCAAACTAGTACGGCCACTCTGGAGAACAGTGTGGAGATTCCTTAAAAAACTGGAAATAGAACTGCCATATGACCCAGCAACTCCACTCCTGGGCTTACACACTGAGGAAACCAGAACTGAAAGAGACACACGTACCCCAACGTTCATCGCAACACTGTTTATAATAGCCAGGACATAGAAGCAACCTAGATGCCCATTAGCAGACAAATGGATAAGAAAGCTGTGGTACATATACACAATGGAATACTACTCAGCCATTAAAAAGAATTCATTTGAATCAGTTCTAATGAGATGGATAAAACTGGAGCCCATTATACAGAGCAAAGTAAGCCAGAAAGTAAAACACCAATACAGTATACTAACACATATATATGGAATTTAGAAATATGGTAACAATAACCCTATATGCAAGACAGAAAAAGAGACACAGATGTATAGGACAGACTTCTGGACTCTATGGGAGAAGGTGAGGGTGGGATGATCTGAGAGAGCACCATCGAAACACCAGTCCAGGTTGGATGAATGAGACAAGTGCTCGGGGCTGATGCACTGGGATGACCCAGAGAGATGGGATAGGGAGGGAGGTGGGAGGGGGGTTCAGGATGGGGAACACATGTAAACCCATGGCTGATTACTGTCAATGTATGGCAAAAATCACTACAATATTGTAAAGTAATTAGCCTCCAACTAATAAAAAAAATTGGGAAAAAAAGAAAAAAAAAAAGAACCTGTGTCCCCAAATCCTGAGAGCTCTAGATATAGGGGAACTATGTATAAATATTGTTTCTCTAATGTAGGCTTTTAATTAAGATTTTCTGATAAGACAATTAGAAATTGTACCTCTGGTCAAGAACCTGGAAAGAATACTTTCCATGTAGGCATGATAATGAAAAATAAATAAATAAGTAAATAAATAAAAATAAGAAGCAGATATATTATTTTACTGAAAAAATTTAGCTTAGTCAAAGCTATGGTTTTCCCTGTAGTCGTGTATTGATGTGAGAGTTGGATTTAAAGAAAGCTGAGTGCCAAAGAATGGATGCTTTTGAACTGTTGTTTTGGAGAAGAGTCTTGAGAGTCCCTTGGACAGCAAGAAGATCCAACCAGTCCATCCTAAAGGAAATCAGCCCTGAATATTCATTGAATGAACTGATGCTGAAGGTGAAACTCCAACAGTTTGGCTACCTGCTGTGAAGAACTGACTCCTTTGGAAAGACCCTGACTCTGGGAAAGATTGAAGGCTGTAGGAGAGGGGGACAACAGAGGATGAGATGGTTGGATGGCATCACCGACTCAATGGACATGAGTTTGAGCAAACTCTGGGATTTGGTGATGACAGGGAGGCCTGGTGTGCTGCAGTCCATGGGGTCACAAAGAGTTGGACACGACTGAGTGACTGAACTGAACTGAATAAGCTAAAATAAACTTGAAAGACCATAATGAAGAAAACAAAGGTTCAAGACAAACTACAGGTGTTTAAAGATATAACAGCATTTTATTTAAAATTTTGTGTAAGTTTGTGTATGCAATCATTATTTTATGCTTGAAACAAGTCCAAATGTCTTTTCATAATCCCAATATGATATAAATAATTCTAGCTCCTAGTGCAGCAGAGAAATTTCTGAAGATTAACATGAGCACCTCAAATTCTGGATTTTCAAGTGTGAAATACTCATTCAAAAGAAGGATAGCTGAGATCATTCTTGGGATTGAATAGTCTTCATTAGTTTAAAGTGAGTCTGAATACCTAGGATGAAATTCAAATTCACATAAAATTTACATTCAAATGTAAACTGAATGAGCTATTAAATAAAAATTGTTTAAATTTGCTTAGAAGAGAAGGAAGACAAAAGGAAATGACCTTGCAACATAAATAACTGTAAAAAGAAAGTTAAAATTATTTCCTCCACTTGAATACCAATATTAGAATATTTGTATTTTAAATCACCTCTGGATAACACTGAATTCTTTATTATTTTCAGTTAATGAAATTCTATGTTTGTTATTTCTACGTATGCTTTGTATGTTTTATATGATTTCTTACTAACTCTTACTCAAATGGTTTATCTCTTATGCCCAAGGAGGATTGGGAAGGGAGCATCAATGAACAGAAATAAGGCAGAGATAAGATCGCTACACTTGAGTATTGAGAGGGAGTGTTTGGAGCGCACCTGGATCTTGAGACTTCAGAAAGCTATCATGACCACACTGGAACTCTTGTTCCCTAAGCCAACTTTACATTATTCTCCATTGCAAACTGTTTCTACATCTCCTTAGGAAAATGGACTCAGAAATCCCAGAACCCTTCCAGAAGGAGCTCACATGCCTTGTCTGCCTGAATTTCCTTCTAGATCCAGTCACCATAGGTTGTGGGCACAGCTTCTGTAGGTCCTGTCTTTGTCTTTTCTGGGAACAAGCCGAAGCCTCTGCCAGTTGTCCGGTGTGCAGACAACGATCAGAACAGACAAACCTCAAAACCAATTTTCTTCTGAAGAATCTGGTGTCTGCTGTCAGAAAAGCCAATCTCAGGCAATTCCTGAAGTGTGAGGAACAGCTGTGTGGGTCCCACAAGCTGTGTGGGACCCTTCTGTGAAGCTGACAAGAGCTTGCTCTGTTTGGTCTGCTCTCAAGGTCAGGAGCACAAGACTCACAGACATTGTCCCACTGAAGAGGCTGCTGAGGAATCCTGGGAGAAGTTGACAAACCAAATGAGATCTTTATGGGAAAAGATACAAGATGTTGAAAGAAACCTCAAAAAATATGACGAATGAGCTGATGCTTGGATGTTTTACGTGAATGGATACGGAGACATGATTAGGAAAACTTATCAGATGGTAACTCCAATTCTTCAGGAGGGAGAAAATCACTGCAAAGGGTTTATTAAAAAAGAAGACCGAAAGATTTATAAGCAAATCAGAAAGAGACAAAAGGAACTGAGTGGAAAGAAGACAGATCTCAAAATAATATACACAGAATTCAAGAAAATGTCCTATAAACCAAATGTGGAGCTGCTCCAGGAATTGGGAGACAAACTCAAATGGACTGAGTCGGCACAGCGGCACGGGCCTCAGTGTCTGCTCCCAGAACTCCCTGCGCAACCCATGGCCGGGCTGATGGACTGGCTCCACCGCTTCTGGGTCAACTTTTCATTCAGTAATGAAGTAAGCAGTCAGTACATCAGGCTGTTCGATGATGCAAGACATCTGACGTATGAACATCCCAGCCTCCATGCATTTTTGGATGGTGGAACATCGAAGTATTTTGCTGCATGGGGAGCCCAGAGCTTCACCTCTGGCAAACGGTACTGGGAGATGTTAGTGGACAGCTCTTGGGACTGGGCTGTAGGCATCTGTAAGGATTCCTGGATAAGGAAGGACGATGGCATACTGGATGAGTCCAACAGGGACAAGTTTCTCCTGTGTGTGAAACGGGATGACCATTACCAACTCTGGACCACCACCCCCACCACACCTCTGTACATAGAGAGACCTCTGGGCAGGGTTGGAGTGTTCCTTGATTGTGACAGTGGGAATATTAGTTTCGTGGATGTTGCCAAGCACTCCCTCCTTTGGAGATACGATGATGGCGTGTGCACTTTCCCTGTCAGGCCCTTCATCTGCACTGGCCACAGGTGAGGAGGCCGAGTCATGGCCCAGACTGGATGCTCAGGACTCCTTCTCTGAGGGAGCTACAAAAGAATACTTCATTGTCTTTAGGCTCTTTCTACTGTAATGGACCCTCCATTTTACTGTTATGTTATAAAGCAGGTGTCAACTGCAAACTTCTGTTGGTTTCACTATTATCTTGACAGTGAAATTTTCCTTTATAGCCATTTGTCTGGAATATATGAAATATATTCACCTGTGTTGTGAGCTTGCTGGACTCAACAAAATATGACCTTGTGCCTCCCATTTCCTGCCCCCAAGGGCTTAAACAACATGGACAGACCTGGTCCCTAACCAGATCCAGGTCAGCCTCCAACCTTCTCCTTCTTCCTCACAAACTACTCTGTCCTATGCATCTATTCACCCTCCAGGAGAAAACCGATTTGCATGGAAATCTCCAATGACCCAGGAGACTGGGATAAGCATTTCTTTCAGAGAATCCAGAATTAGCAGGTCCTTTTTTTGTACAATAATAAAAAGAAAGTGCTTCATGAGGAGCACTGGAGAAATCTTTGCCTGAAGAATTTAATAAATAGATACTCCTTATTGGAAAGGAGTTTTGCAGTAAAAGTTAGGGACTAGAGTCTAAAAGTTTAAGTTTTCAAGATTTAAAAGTGGATGTCAGAAACTAATTAGATTACACACACTGAGCTTAAGTGTATTTGTATGTTGGAGGCTCTGTTAAGCGTAGATATTATAAGTGTGGGGGTGACTGTGGGCATTGCAATCATACTGGTGGTATGTTACACTTTTATATTATTTTAATTTAGGATTATCACCTGGGCATGAAGGATGGGATAGTATGGCAGGGAGCATTGTCTGTTCCCATTTTCCAATCATGCAATAGAGCACTTTTGTTTAAATATTTTTGCCCCACACTGAATTACATATTCACCATTGTATTTCTAACACCAAAGATACTTTCTAAATATATATTGATAAGTTTTTCAACACTGGTTACTTAAACTTACTCTCTAGCTCATGTTGAAATGTTGCTGAAACCAGCACTCGAGAAACCAAGCACCACACTGGGATAGTTGGAGAATCAGGTTTATTACACTGGCGGGTCCAGAGGAGTTAACACTTCAAGCTCTGAGCCCCAAACAAAGGGATTACAGAGTTTTTATAGACAGACTGTAGTGGGCAACACTAGCTGTTAATAGGCTGGTTTAAACTAGGGGTTTCATGTGTGGGAATAATGGTCAACATGGGGAGGGGGATGTCTGACCTGGACAGGCATGATTAAGCAGGGTTGCAGGGGCTGGGTGATTGCAAAGAGCAGGACAAGGGTGAGTGAGATAAACTCCAGTTCCTACTATTGCATGTTCCCACTTTCTGAGACTATGTGACCTATGTGATCTAGACTTTGCAAGGGGCAAGCTGAGTTACAGAGGCAGAAGGAGAAGGAGGTTACATAAAATTTTAACTTTTCTTCTTCAATAAATCTTACTACATCTTAGTAAAAAAAAAAAAATGATCGCTACACTTTAGAACTCTCATTCTCTATTTAGTAAAAATAAATATATTTGAGGGCAATAATGCCTAATTCACCTTCATAACTCGTCCCTCTCCTTCCAATATCTATCACAAGACTTAGCAAGTAGATAATGCTCAGCAAATATTTGTCCAATTGCAGTGAAAGATTACAATCTATTTTCTCAGTCAGAATCAAATCTTCCTAATGTATATTCTATTTCTAAGGAATATGCTGTAAACCCTAGTGCAAATTTAATACTTTGTTCAAAGATTCATATTCCTCTCTTGGAGCTGAAAATTTACACTTTACTTCTTTATGTAAGTATTGGCTTTGATATCAGAAAGGCACAAAATCAAGCTCACCTTTATCATTCTTTTAGGTGTATAGATTCTGACAAGAGTTCATCATTTTCTTTGAGCATCAGCTTCACCTGCAAAATGAAATAATAAAAGTACCTGTCTGATAGAAACTTTGGGGATTAACATGAGACAATATGTATGTAAATTTTTTAACAATGTTCAATATCTATGCTCAATAAATGGTAACCATTTATATAATTATCATCATTTTTCCAGATCTTCTAACTGAAACTAAGCAGTATAAATATACAGAGACATCTTATTTTTTCTACCATAATCAATTTGAAGTAACCATTTTTAAGAAATTTAAACAATTAAACTTTCAAACAAAAAATAAATCATCCTAATAAAATGTTAGGGAAAGAAGGTGATATTTCATTATACAGAAGCATTTAGACTCAGCAAATAAAATCCAATGGCAATTTTAAAAAGTAATACTTTGGTTATCAGAAAGTAAAATTATGTTAACAAGTACTAATTGCTGGGGTGTGATCGTTGCCTTAGAAAAGACCCTGATGCTGGGAATGATTGAAGGCAGGAGGAGAAGGGGATGGCAGAGGACAAGATGGTTGGATAGCCTCACTCAATCAATGGACATGGGTTTGAGGAAGCTCTGGGTGAAGGTGAAGGACAGGGAAGCCCGGCATGCTGCAGTTTATGGGGTTGAAAAGAATCAGACATAACTGAGTGACTGAACAACAACAATCCCTTCTTTACGTCTTGTTTGGAAATTTTGCTAAGGACATATGTTCATGAATCTTTTTACTCATTTTTTAAAAAATGTATTTATTGAGTGCTTGCCATGTGCCCAGTACTGTTTAAACAGCTAGGAATATATCATAATGCAGAATCAAAGAAGATATCTACCCTTATGAAGCTTACATTTAATAATGGGAAGATAAACCAAAAACAATTAAAATAAGTAACATGCTAATTATTTAATATGTAATATATGATAGAACTTCCCTGTTGCCTCAGTGGTAAAGAATCTGCCTGTAATATAGGAGAAACAGGTGAAGCAGGTTTGATCCCTGGGTCAGTAAGATCCCCCAGAGAAGGAAATGGCAACCCACCCCAGCATTCCTGCCTGGGAAATCTCATGGACAGTGGAGTCTGGCAGGCTATAGTCCAGGGAATTGCAAAAGAGTCGGACATGACTTAGCAACAAAAATAACATATAATAAGTGCAAATGAGAAAAGAGAAATAACGAGACAAAGGAGATGAGTATGGGTTGAAGTTGAAAGATCAGAGGAGTCTTCACTGAGAAGGAGATATGTGAAGAAAGATTTACAGTGAATATAGATAGTTAGGGGAAAGAGTGACAGGGAAGGAGGGCTGCTAATTTAAATTCATGGGCAGAAGCATTCTTGACATGTAAGAGTCACTGCAGGAAGGCTAATGGAGCAGAATTTGCCAGAGAAATGGTAGTAATGGATATGGAAGAGGTGGGGAAGAAAGTTATAAAAAGTCTTGTAGACCATTACAAGGGCTTTTTCTCTGTAAAATAGGATAGCATTTCAGGATACTGTCTGAACAGTGTATCTAGTATGATAATTAAATTTTATCAGAAATAAAGGAAAGCTAGATTGATTTCATGGCACCACACTCCAGTCCTCTTGCCTGGAAAACCCCATGGATGGAGGAGCCTGGTGGGCTGCAGTCCATGGGGTCGCTAAGAGTCGGACACGACTGAGTGACTTCACTTTCACTTTTCACTTTCATGCGCTGGAGAAGGAAATGGCAACCCACTCCAGTGTTCTTGCCTGTAGAATCCCAGGGACGGGGGAGCCTGGTGGGCTGCTATCTATGGGGTCGCACAGAGTCGGACACGACTGAAGTGACTTAGCAGTAGTAGCAACAGATTGACTTCTGAGACAAAAATGAATAATAATTTTGTATATTGTTAGAATAATTAACTAATGCATTTGAAAATTCAGAACCTGAAAAAGTGATGTATGGGAAGATGAATGAGTTTAGAAGGCATGCTACTAGTCATACATTTGCCTGAAGGAAATGATACAATAATGAAGTCTAGCAAAAGTACTTAAATTGGATTAAATGAATTATTTTCAAGTAGAGGTAGATGTGGATGTTAAGACAGTTCACAAAGAAATTTTAGTAATTTTCTCAAGCATTTTTATAAGTAAATCAATTTTTAAAATTGTAGTTGAATTTGAAAAAGTGTTTGAGATAAAGCTAAAACCAAAGTCAAATTATAAAGTCATCCAAAAGAAGGAAGAAACTAATGATATTCCAAATAGAAATAACAATGAGATATTAATTTATTGATAAACACTCTCACTTTCAGAGAGTATTAAGTCCCACTGAACTTGCCACTATTGACCTTCCAGAAAATACAAATAAATGGAGAGGGGTGGTGGAAATCATGATACTCAAGAGTTTCTTGTTTACTGGGAGTACTTAGAAATGAGGAACTCTCTTTCAGTATTGGATCCTAAACATCAGTCTTACACCTAGTGCCAAGGAATTTCTAATTATAAATTGTAAACAATGGAGACATTTTTATAAGCCTGATATTCAAGTTATTCAGAATTCTTTTTAGAAATCAACGGATTTAGCCTTACTTAGGAGGACTCTCTGCAGTAAAGTTTTGCCAACTACTGCTCTAATCCTTCCCAGTTCAGAGAAGATGAGTCACTGACAGTTAAATTTCCCCAAAGCTGAAGAGGCCATTTTGCATGGGGTGAGGGTAAATGGTTTTGGCACAGACAGATGGGAAAGCATCATAGGAATCACAACTGGATCATCAGAGAAGCCAGAGATGCCACCAGCAACTACTGAAACCCTGCAGAAGAGTGCTGTGAAATAGATTTGAAGTAGTCAAATGTCAAATGATAGCACCTTTCAAGAGTGAAAGTTTCAAGTTTGTACACTTGCTAAAAATTGTTGAGGGGGGAGAATAAAGCAATAATTATATAGCAACCTGTTTAAAATTTACCATTGATTCTAATTAAATGTTTAAGTTCTGGAGTAATAGATATAACCTTATTAGAAAATAAGTAATTTTATGGGTATACAGATAGATGAGGAGGGCATGATAACTCATTCCAGTATTCTTGCCTGGAGAATCCTGTTGGACAGAGGAGGCTAGTGTGCTGCAGTCCATGAGGTT